TTTTTTGTTTGTTTGTTTTTATTTGTTTTGTTTTTCTTCCGGTACTGGGAATCTAACTCACGACCTTGCGCTTGCCAGGCAGGCGCTTTTGCCACTGAGCTAAATCCTCAGCCCCTAAATGCAATTCTTTTTTTTTTTCCCCCCTCCGTAACCAGGAATCGAATGCACAACCTTGCACTTGCCAGGCAGGCACTGTGCCACTGAGCTAGATCCCCAGCCCAGAATGTGTATTCTGATGATGTTGTCTAAAACAGTCTAAAAGTATCTAAGTTGATTTGTTTACAGGTTTGGTTCAGTTCTGTTATTTCTTTGCAGATTTTTTGTCTAGTTGATCGATCTCTTTGTGACAATGGGGTATTGAGGTCTCCCATTACAATTGTATTATTACTTATTTGATTTTTCATGTCTATTAATAATTGTCTTATAGGGCTGGGCATGGTGGCACATGCTTGTAATCCCAGCACTCAGGAGACTGAGGCAGGAGGATCGTTGCAAGTTCAAGACCAGCCTGGGTTACAAAGTGAGCTCAAGGCCAGCCTGAGCTGCATATCAAGACCCTGTCTCAAAAAAGACCAAAAAAAAAAAAAAAGTTCTTATATAGTTGGGTTCTGCTGTATTTGGTGCATATATATGTATGATCGTTACCTCTTCCTCTTAAAGTTTCCCCTAACAAGTATAGAGTGACCTTCTTTTTTTTTTTTTTTTTTTTCCGTTACCGGAAATCGAACTCATGACCTTGCACTTGCCAGGCTGGTGCTGTGCTGCTGAGTTAAATCACCAGCCCCATAGTGACCTTCTTTACCCCTTGTGATTATTCTTGGTTTGAAGTTGACATTGTCTGCAAAAGTAGCTCCTCCTGCTTTTTTCTAGGTTCGTTTTGCATGGAAGATTGTTTTCCATCCTTTGATTTTCAGTCTGTGAATTTCTTTTTGTATTAAATATGTTTCTTGTATGCAGCATATTGTTGGATGTTGTTTCTTGATCCGCTCTGCCAGTCTATTTCTTTTGATTGGTGAATTGAAGTCATGTACATTGATGGTTATAACTGATATGTACTGGCTTGTCTTGGTCATGGTATTTTCTTGCTGTTGGTTCCCTGCTTTTCCTCTCTGTTTAATTGCTTGCCCTGCCTGGTGGTTTCATTGTGTTGTTGTTCTTGGAATTGTGGTCATTTTTATCTCTGTCTGGAATATCTTTTAGTACTCTTTGTAGCATTGGTTTGGTGTTCATAAATCTCTTCAGTTCTTTGTCATGGAAGTATCTTATTTCTCCATTACCTTGGAAAGATAGTTTTGCAGGGTACATCGATCTGAGCTAGAAGTTGTTTTCTTACAGGATTTGAAATACTTCATTCCAAGCTCTCGTTGACTTGAGGGTTTGTGTTAAGAAGTCTGCCATGATTCTGATGGGCTTTCCTTTATAGGTGGTCTGTTTCTTTTCTCTAACAGCTTTTAATATTTTGTTCTTTGTTTTTTTTTTTTTGGTTTTTCTCCGATACCGGGAACCGAACTCATGACCTTGCACTTGCCAGGCAGGTGCTTTTGCCGCTGAGCTAAGTCCCCAGCCCCTAATATTTTGTTCTTGTGATGAATTTCTGGAATCTTTATTATTATATGTCTTGGTGTAGTTTTATTTTGGTCAGGAACGTTTGGAGTCCTAAATGCTTCATGTATTTGTATGTCAAATTCTTTATCCACACTTGGGAAGTTTTCTGCCATTATTTCTGTGAGGAGTTTTTTTATATTATTTGTGCTGTCTCCAGCTTTCTCATTGACCCCAGTCAATCTTACGTTATTCTTCTTTGCTTTATCTTGTAGTTGTTTGATTGATTTTTTCATGGTCTCTTGCTAATTTTAAGATATCTTTCTTTTCGTTATCACTGTCTGTAATTCTATCAAGATCTGAAATCCTATCCTCTCTCCCTTTGTTCAGCCTGTTGCGTATACTTTCAGTGGAGGGCCAGGAGTGTAGCTCAGGGGCGTAAGCACTTGCCTAAGCCTGAGGTCATGAGTTTGATTCCCAGTACCAAAAAAAAAAAAACACCAAAAAATAAACAAAACCCAATACTTTCAGTGGAGGTTTTAATCTCTTTGATTTCTATTTGGATCTCTTTCATGGATTCCATTATATACACATACACAGTGTAGCTAAGATAATTGTACTACTAATTTTTATTGATTTATTGAGAGGAATGGTTAATGTTTAATTGTCTGATCAATCTTGCATACCTGTATCTGGTAATCTGAGCACCAGAGAGCAAGGATATAATTTAGCACTTATATTACCTTGTCATATGTCATTTCTAGTTTTCATTTGGTCCTGTGCAAGTGAACCACCATGTTAAGTCAGTTCCTTAGTGCAATAGTTTTGTTTTCACCTACCTTCTGTGCACTAATATTTACAAAAATGTTATGTTTCTATATATATACTGTAGTTCCCAAAATGAAATTTTATGTAGTTATATGCAGATGGTTTTTTGAAGACAAGTAATATGCATTTTTATACTGTCAAATTATACTGGATAAATACCTTTACTGTGCTCTTCGTTCTTACATGTGAATTCATGTTATTGTCTGAGGTCACTTGTTTTCAGCCTGAATAATTTCAGTTAGTATGTCTTGGAAGGTGTATCTACTAGCCTTTAATACTCGCAGTTTTTGTTTATCTGGGAATGTCTTTGTTTTTTCATTGTTCTTAAAACACTTTTACTATGATATATATTGATATGGCTCTTTGTATTTATCCTGCTTAAAGTTTTGTTGAGTGTTTTGATTATTTTCCATTTAATTTGGGAAGGAGCCTGTACCTGTAGTTTAGCTTTAGCCTCTCATGAAATGATCAGTCTTTTAATAGGTCCACCATATTTGAGAATGCCCTTCATCTTCTTTACACTTTATTTGAAATAGTTCCCTTCCTTTAGGGAGAAATTTAGAGTAGGCATCAGGATTATGGCATACTTCTCTCTGAGTGACACCTTTGCTTTAGGAACAGGGTATTAGGTGGGACTGGGTGGTATTCTGGTCTTCCTTGTTTGACTAGTCAGCATAAAGCCTCACTCCTTTGAAAGAGCTGGGGTTAGTGTCATGGGAGTCCATGCATTCTCCGTGTACCATCCCTGAAGTAGAGCCTTCTTGTTTATGAGTGAGGATGGGTGAAAGAAGGGATCCTTGAACCTCTTAGATGTATGTGTCATAAATTTATCTTCTTCAATATGTATGTGTGTGTGGTATTCTAGGGGAGGGATGAGAAATGCTGGGACTTGCCTCTCCCAGGAAGATACCATAGCCTTTGCTGGAAGCTTGGGAGAGAGGGAGCCCTTGTGTTCTTGGCCACACTACCAGGAGTATAGTTTCTATTGTGCTAAGCTGAGAAAGGAGAGGGAGGGGAGTGGGTTGTAGTTCCACTGCTGCTGATTCTTGCTATTTTTCATGATTTTCTATAGATTTTCCTTTTTGGTACTGGGAATCGAACTCATGACCTTTGGTGTGCCAGGCAGATACTGTGCTACTAAGCTATATCCCCAGCCCCTAGCTTTTCATTGAGAGTTGTGTATTTCTTTTCTGTATCCTGTAGATAAATTTTTAAAGACTTTCAGTGGTTGTTTTAAAAATAATTTCCACCATGTGTTTATTTTTGGGGGGGAATAAGTTTGAGGAGCTCCTCATGCTGCCATTTTGGAAGTGGAACTCCAGGTATGAGTATTCTAGTTAGGAAGACTGGGTTGCGGGGTATGCAAATGGAAATCAGTTTGGCATAGTCACATAAATGTGTAAAGATAGTTGTATCAAATTACATCACCAAGTTAGATGACAGAATTCTTGGAATTATCATTGGACTTACTTTTTAACCACTCTAGGTAGATACAAAGTGATATATCACTGTGGTCTTAATTTACCTCCTTTCTTTGTCATCTATGTTTCTTATATGCATTTTTGGATACTTGTCCTTTGAATATATTGAACTAAAATTTTATTCCATTTTGTGCCTTATCTTTTTTAACTAATGATATCCTTTGCTAATCAGAAGTTCTTACTCTTAATGTAATTGAATGTGTCAGATTTTACTTCTAAGCAGTCCTTCCCTATCTCAAGTTCACAAGATAATTTTCTACACTAAGAGTTAAATTTAGTTTTACTTTTCCACTATTAATGTTGTCTGGGTTTTAGTGATTATGCGAGAAACAGGCATCTAATTTCACTTTTTCTGTATAGACTAGTAATTGACCCAACCCTATTTATTTTGTAGTCAGTTCTTTCAAGTCTGTAGCGCCTCTCATAAAAAGTTGACATAGGTTGAGAATCTCTAATCTAAAATCTGAAACTATTTTTTGATGTGTGCAATACTAGAGATTGAATCCAGGACTTTCTCACTGAGGTATTTCATCAGTTTCTCTCTTTAAAAAAATTCTGAGATGGTTCTCCCTGAGTCACTAAATTGCCAAGGCTGGGGTCAAACTCTTGATTCTCCTGTGTCAAACTCCCATAGCATTGGGATTATAGTCAGGTGCCATTATACCTGGCTCAAAATCCAAAACTTTTGGATTTTAGGCATATTGAACTTTGGATTTGCAGGTTAGATATGCTCAATTGTTAAAGCATATGCAAATGAATCAAAAAAATTCCAAAATCTGAAACACTGGTGGGGCCAAGCATTTTTGGTAAGTGATACTCAATTGAGTCTCTTTTGGGGTTCTCTGTTCCATAGTTTGGTTGACTTGTTTATTCTTGGGCTGTTGCCACACACACAACTTTATAATTTTGATATCATGAAGAAAAAGTGTTCTGCCTTCTTCAAGAGTACTTTGCCATATGCCTATTAGATTTTTAATGTTAAGTAGCTTTCAGTGAAAACATTTTACCACCCTCTCCTATGGTAATTAGTGGGCATGGAATTCATTGTGTACTAAGCATTTATTGCCAGGGTTGAAATGCTAGAAGAAAGTAGCACATGATGCTTATATTTATTAGGTCCGAAGTCACTTTTTTTCCTTTTAACTCTAGGAACAGTTTTGATCAAAAGTAACACCGGTCAGTTGATGTTGGTATCTCCTCAGCAAGGGGTGACGAGAGCAGAGACTGCAAGTACCATAACTTCCAGGCCAGCAGTACCGGTGAACACACAAACTGTCAAAATCTGCACAATGACGGTAGTGTACCTTAGTCTTCCTCAGTTTTTCAGCTGATGTCTTACAAAGGTGTACATATTTGTTAGTAAGAATAATTTGAGATAATTTAACTCAACTTTCTAAGCTAAGTGACTCTCTTTGAAGATGCTAATTTAATCAAGATTTTTGGTTTTATCATTTGATAATTGCTAAAGTAATGAAAATTCAATCTTTATACTCAAAGATTTTATAGTTCTCTAAGGATGTTCAAAGGGGCAACTTGCATTTTGAAGAAAACCATTCTGCTTCTGTTTTAATTTGTGGTAAAATAGTAAGACTTGTGTATAGTAATCATTTTTGTCCATACCTTATAGAAATTAAGAAATATAGAAAGTGCTGTAATATCTCATTGGCTTTACATTATTAGAGAATGATTTATTTTATATACCTAGTGATCTTTCTAGATGTCTGAAGCTTATCGGACGGAATTTTAAAAATATTTCTCTGAATATTTTTATTTAAACACAAAATGCTGAGTATAGTCTAACATTTTCTTAATGACTCAGGCCATTTGAATTAAAAATTCAATTTTTGTGGCAATATTATTTGTTGCCCATTTTGTTTGTTTTTACGTTGTCCTAATTTGATTCTGGATGCTTAACTAGTTATTTTCTCTGCCAACAATGCTTGGTTCTTTCACTTTTTAATTTGCTTTTTAGGTTAGGAATATAGAGTAGCAGGTTTTTGTTTATACTTAAATATTAAGTAAGAATTTATGTGGCTTCTGTATAGTCAAAGTCAAGTTTCAGATTTTAAGGCAGAGTGCTACAGTACCTATTTAGTGTGAGACTTCAGATAAAAGGGATATTTATTGAATTGTTGCCTCGTTAGAAATACGAAATGAGTGTCAGCTGGCGAATTGACCATTTAGGTTGGCAGTTTGGAGTGTGCATAAGACCTTAATATTATAAAGCCAGTTACAACAAATAAGTTTGCAATGGAAAATTGCTCTTACGTTCTCCATAGTACTGATTGATTGTAGATAACTAACACTGATTACTTTGTTATCTTGTCCCTTCCTCCTAAGAATTCTAGCTCACAGTTAATCAAGAAAGTGGCGGTGGCACCTGTTAAAACATTGGCACAAATAGGAACTACTGTGGCAACCACTGTTCCAAACTCTTCCTCAGTGCAAGTGAGTTGTGGCTTACGTTTGGCTCTGTGTGCACTGGTTATTTTCACTTCTTTCTTTATTATTTAGCTGTTTCCTGCCGAATATGTAAGTTGCTGAATATGTGACACTGAAGAGAGCAATTCACTGATACATTACGATAATTAAGGTGGGAAGTGCTGGAGATACGGGAAACAAGGAAATACGGTGTATTATATGTTTCACTGAAATGTATTAAAGTAATGCAAATACATCTAATAGCCATGTGTCCTGGTCTCTTGAAGTAGGTATTGAGACGGAATTTGGTGTCTGAGATATTTATTAGGGATCAGTCCCTGTGGAATGGGAGGAGAGTAAGAATTTAAAGTAGATGCAGACCCAGTACAGCATCAGCCAACCTAGTGGAGAACTTGAAGCATATATTAGAAATCACTGATTTTTAAAAATTTTCTCAAATGTTACAGTTATCTGGAAATAAGATAATTGTATCTTATAATGATAATGTATCTTATAAGATAATGAATATTTATAATGAATAATAAATATTCATGCCAGTTATCATTATATGGTAGTTAGTAGTTCCACTGTCAGTCTTCGTTTTGTTTTCTGTTGTACTGAGGATTGAACCTAGCGAGTGCTAAATTAGAGATCCCTGACTATTTCTAAAGTTTTTAAATTTTGAGATCCATTTTGCTCATTTTCAGGCTGGCCTCAAACTTTCTGTCTTCCTGCCCTCATCTTCCTAGTGATTACAGATAGGGGGCCACTACCTGGCCTCTAATCTTGTTATTTAGTATTCTAATAAAGTTTTTTTTTCTTTTCTTTTCTTTTCCTTTCCTTTCTTTTCTTTTCTTTTCTTTTTTTTTTTTTTTGTCTTTTTGAGACAGAGTCTCACTATGCAGTTCAAGCTGGCTCTGAGCTCACTTTGTAGCCCAGGCTGGTTTCGAACTTGCAACAATCCTCCTGCCTCAACCTCCCAAGTACTGGGATTACAAGTGTGCGCCACCACGCCCGGCTTACTAATAAATTGTATGTCAAAGAAAGATTTAGTACATACAGTTAATAAAATGGTATATCTGGATTACTTACTATATATTGTTCTTGGATTATTTTTCCATATACTAGTGTATGTCTGTCATTGATCATGAATGTGTCTGTGTGCATTGTTTTTCCTGACTTACATTGATGCGTAGTTTAAGTTGGGTTATTCCTCATCGATAGTCTAGAGCAGCAGAAATTATCAAGGAGTGCATTAAAGATTCTGTATCTACTTTGAGAGGCAAAGCATCTTAGTTTGGGGGTATTTCTTAGAAATGAAGAACTTGGAAATGACAACTTAAGACTCCTTGTACTTGATTATTTGACTGGAAAGGCAAATTTATGTGTTAAGAAATGATGAAAATATGTAGTTTTCTATTAATAGGTATCAATATTTGTTTAAAATGGCTTGAAACATGGCCTACTCTAGTAAATATAACTTGAAAATCAATGAAAAACTTTTATGTTCAGTTTTGGATTGTATTTAATGGGGAAGATATAATTTTGCCTTAGGATGTAAATGTACAAATGATTTGATTTTTAGAATTAGTATTCTTAATCAAATCTGAACAATCCTAAAATGATTATTCTTTCAGACAAGTACAGAAAATCACCTTTCTTGAAATGCAGTTTGGTCTCCTAAATTTGCATTCAGTTTATTTTTCTAGCTTTACTTATAACTGATTTTCATATAGATTTATTTTGCAAATACTGCTGGCCTTTGATTCCTTCTTGAAGACGTGCCTAATCAATGCAATGCAGTCTTGCAAAGAATGGAAATACCATTGGCTGGGCTACAATACTGAGTCTTATGTTATGATTAAATATAAGACCATGCATCCAACACTGGAATGGGAAGACCAGGACCATGTACTTCTCCATGTCCCTAAAAAGGTGCAATTAGTATGGAAGGTACATATATCTGGTAAGGCACAGGTAGTGTCTTCATTGGAAAGCACTTAGAAGGACATATTTGTATTGGAGTGTGTTAGTCAGCAATACCTGAGGTGAATGGGCTCAGAAAGGTTTTGGGGTGTGGTAGTGCATGTGTAATCCCAGTACCTGGGGTGTGGAAGCAGGAGATCATGAGTTTGGGGCCAGTCTGGGCTACGTATTGAGACCCTGAAGAGACAGAGACAGACAGACAGACAGGTTGATTGGAGGTTTCAGGTGTCAGGGACCATGAGGGATAGGAGGACGGGCAGAGGTGTTTCCCAGAATCCAGTTCAAGTGCCTATCCCAGTGACTGGAAGCCTTCCCATGGGATCCACCTCCTGAGCATTCCACCTAGTGCCAGGAGCACCTTGGGCTGTGAACCAGGCTTTTGACACATGGGCCTTTGGGGAACATTTCAGATCCAAGCTGTAGTAGGGAGAAAGGGTAAAAGATTGATAAGGAAAGTAAAATGACATAAATTCTTCCCCTTCTCACAAACAGCAGAGCACTCTTCCTCAGCTCACGTTTCACTGGCCTTTGTTTTGCGTCGCAGGTAAGGGGCCAGTACTCCTCTGAGGAGCCCCTCTTACCACTCATCAAAGACATACTTGCTGGCCAAAATTCTAGATTATGCTTTCTTAAGTTAGCATTACCGAGAGCTTATGACTGACTCCAAGATACTCTGAAGAAAGAGTCTTACTGTGTATAAGCCTGGAAGGTCATTAAAAAATCTCTAGAAGGATTCAGAAGAAACCACACAGTTGTTGCTCCTGGAAAGCAGGAATAAAGGGATGAACAGGAGGAAGGTGACGTCATTTTAATGTTACTTTTGAGGTTTTCTCTCTTGAATAGAATTTTACTAATTTAGTTGTAATTTTAAATTTTATCTCTTTTGTTCAATATTTCATCATTAGCTCTAGTCCTTATCAGTATTTTAAATTTCCTTCCCTCTTACCCTCAAATCATTGTTGTCTGATATATGCGCCAGTCTTTCTAAAGTGGAAGATTTTGGTGTGCGTTTAAATTCACCTGTCTTGACTATTGAAGAAAGAAATTTTCTTCAGGACTACAACCTGACCTTTCTATGTGCTTGCAGAACACAAGCGTTTGAATTAAAATCACGGTGCAATATTCAGTTTTCTATGTGAATTATGAATACTACTTGTTTCCATCTGCCCCCCCACCCCAAGCTTTTCTTTTTTTTTGTTTTTTTTCCGGTACCGGGAATCGAACTCACGACCTTGTGCTTGCTAGGCAGGCGCTTTTCCCGCTGAGCTAAATCCCCAGCCCCTCCAAGCTTTTCTTATGTCTAGCAACTTTTAATGTTTGAGACAGTGTAGTTTTCTGAATTATTACGTTATGATTTCTTGTATTAAAATTTTTGCCCTGCAGGTGGTGCTAGAGTCACACCTTATTCCAACAGGGTGGGAGAAACGGATTTCTTTTCAGTATGAAAATATCACATTTTGCAATATTCTTAATGCTTATTTTAATGTTCTATTTAAAACCAGCCTGCTTAATAATCAGTAGATCATTTTGCTTAATATGTAATAAAAAACCAAAATTACCAGGCAGGTAATTCTTTGTTTTCCTATAAAGACCTAGAATTTCAAATACTTACAGAGAAGCATGAACAATGCTTTTTAAGGACTTATTTGTATGGTAGTCTCTTTCATCGACAATCCTAGCGTAGAAGCACTGTTGCTATCCTTGTTTTTGTGTGGGAGTCAGAGGATTAGCAGGAATAGTAACTTGCCTGTACTCAGTACTGTAGTAGGTGGCAGTAAAAAGTAGGAGGGTAGATGAGAATGAAACCTAGCTATGCTAGAGTCTAGAGTTCTGTGTTACATTTCTATAGACTCTTAGTGCATCCCATAAAAGCAAAGGTGTCGAGATTCATTTCTAGTATGCAAAGTGTGAAGTACCCAGCAATACCTGTCTCAGTGTGTACTAATTGAATTATTTCAGTCTATATCTGTGCCAGCCAATGTTGTCACGGTTACTCCTGTAAAGCCAGTGAATACTGTAACTACCTTGAAGCCTTCAGATTTGGGAGCAGCCTCTGTACCCTCAAATGAGCCCAGTTCTAAAGCAGAGAACTCAGCAGCTGCTCAGGCTGATCTTTCTCCAGTAAGTTCTCACTTGCCACTTACATGAATAACAGTTACTTACCAATGGTCTTGAATGGTTTGCTGGCTAATGCTTGTGATTTTATATTTCTTGATATTTAGGCAGTGCTAGAAAATGTGAAGAAATGTAAAAACTTCCTTGCCATGTTAATAAAACTAGCATGTAGTGGGTCACAGTCTCCTGAGATGGGGCAGAATGTGAAGAAGCTGGTGGAACAACTTTTGGTAAGTTACTGAAATGTAAGTTTTATAGGAATCCATGGGACCTGTTATGCATGGGAAATATCTATATATTTTTGATGAGGTTTATTTTAAATATACTTCTTGATAAGTAAATGTATATGTATTTAAGACATGTGCTGAGAATACAGTGAAGATAAGCTTGGACTATGTGTGTGTCGGTGGAGGGGTTTACTGGGGATGGAACCCAGAGCCTAACACACGGTGGGAGCACTGAGCCACACCTCTAGCCCAGTTTTGAACTTTTTTTTAGGCAGGGTCTCGTTAGGTAGTTCAGGCTGGCCTGAGCACGTTTTGTAGCCCTGGCTGGCTTCAAATTCACAGTGATCCTCCTGCCTCAGCCTCCCAAGTGCTGGGATTACAAGTGTGCACCACCACACCCGGCCATATAATCTCTAGATTTATCTGACTATATAATTAATATTTTTATGTATTTTTTAAATATAAGATTGGTACCTTTTCCAAGTGGAATCCATGTGTATTTCAAATATTTCATACATCTTTATTTCTTTTAGCAACATTCTTTTTTTTTTTTTTTTTTTGGTTTTTCTCTGGTACCGGGAACCGAACTCACGACCTTGCGCTTGCCAGGCAGGCGCATTTGCCGCTGAGCTAAATCCCCAGCCCCTCTTTTAGCAATATTCTTATAGATGTTAGAAATAGAATATAGTTGAAATTGTTAGTTTCCCATTTGGGATGATGTTTTTAAGGTTTTTAAAATTATACATTCTATATGCAGATTTTTTAATTTAAAATTTGAGTATCTTTTCAAAAGTAAACACTGAAATTTTGTTCTTTCCTTCCTAAGGTATTCTAGTTTTGAAAAGGTATATATATGAAGACTTGATACTCTGAAATAAAATACTTAGATGGAGAGACATGATAAAAGACAACATATATTCTGTAAAAGATTTCAAAGTTTTTAAGCCCAGAAGATATGTTTGAATTTTGCAGAGAGATAGCAATAGTTAGGAATTAATCAAATGTCCTTTCTAGCTTAAGATCTGTTTATCTTGGAAGAGCAAACAGTAGTACTCAAATATTTTGGTCTTGGACACTTTTATATTCCTAAAAATGAAGGCTTCCTTTAGGCATTTTTATTTTTCTGGGGATCTGGAATGCAAATTGTGAAATTTAAAAAATTTTATTTTTTAAAGTAACAATAAATGTTATGTATTAACATAAATAACATGGCCAGGAGTTGTGGTGCGTACCTGTAATCCCAGCACTTGGGGTGCTGAGGCAGGAGGATCGTTGTGAGTTTGAGACCAGCCTGAACTACAAAGTAAACTCAAGGCCAGCCTGAACTGCATAGCTAGACCCTGTCTCAAAAAGACAAAAAACAAAACAAAACAACAACAAAAAAACCCATAAATAACATTTGAATGAAAAGTATAGAATCCAAAACAGTAAAATTGAGTGAAAACAGCATTGCTTTACATTTTGTAAATATCTTTAATGTCCAGTTTAATAGAAGGCAGCTGACTCTCTTCCCTGCTTCTACAGTTAATCTATTTTGTGATGTGTTGTTTTTTGAGAGTATTTGGGAAATGCCTGGTCTCATGTGAAGAGGTGGTTGGAGTAGTGAGCATTGTAATAGCTTTCTCCAGTATATTGATATTCTTTGGAGTAGACCGACTTAGCTTACATAGTGAATAAAGTTTTTACCTATGTATGATTTTTATCATAGCTTGTGTTGGTCACTTGGAAATATTAGTTCACTAAGTTTGCAGATTTCCAAAAATTTTCAGGTGTTTTATTTAAGATGACAAAATAGGGACTGGAGATTTAGCTCAGTGGCACAGCACCTGCCTGGCAAGCGCAAGGTCGTGAGTTTGATTCCTGGTACCAGAAAAAAGCCAAAAAAAAAAAAAAGAAAAAGACAAAATAACATGGTCGTTAATTTCACTGACAGTTGCATCAGAAAATTCTTTTAGGGCAATCCACTTGGGACCCCTCCTGTCTCTCAGGAGCTATTCCTAGTCCCAATTCCTTTTTCCCAGTAAATTTCCATACTCTTAAAAAAAAGGAAGAGAAAATTCTTTTAACTCCTAGGAAGCCATTAAGTCCATAGTAGTGATTATAAATTTTCCAAAATTGTAATTTTGGCTTGAGAGCTTTAATTTTACCATTTTGCTATATTTTTCTTGTAGCAACAGACTTCATTTATATTTGAGAAAATATCTACCAGATATTCACGTATTTGGTCATTCCTTTTTCAGTTGCTTTATCATTCTTTCCAATAAAAATGAAAACCAGCAGGTGGTTCCGCTGGTGACTCAGTGGCAGAGTGCTTTCCCTTGAGCATATTTTTTTGGTCTGCAGTAGAAATGCTATTTGTGTGAGTCTTACTTCTTTATGTTCAGGATTTGAAAAGATGTCTACCAAAGGGTTGAGATATAATAAGATAAAGTTTTACTGTTTCATCCTGGCTGTTTAAAAGAGTAACTGGCTCTTTTTAAACCTACTAGTATCTAGCAGTGTGGAGTATGACGACAGCTATTTTACTTTGCTGTTGCCCTCCTTTTCCCCCCACGGTACTGGGGATTGAACCCACCATGTCGCATATGCTAGACAAATGCCCTGTTGTGCTATACCCCCAACCCCTTCTTAAAATTTTATTTTCAGACAGGGTCTGACCATATCGCCCAGGTTGTCCTTGAATTTGCAGTCAATCCTGCCTCAGACTCTGGTATAGCAGGCATTGCAGGCATGTGCCACTGCATCCATCAAAGACACACACACACACACACACGTGTACATGCGCTCACATACACATGTGCATACTTTTCTGTTACGGTGAAAATAATGTTAGATTTCAAAGATCCTTGAAATGCTTAAGAGTATAAAATGATCAGTAAGGGATCCCCAGTGTTTGGAATGGCTATTATGGTTTTGCAATAGCATTCTGAAACCATGTCAGCTTGATTAAGGTAATTTAAAAATTGATGAACCAAAATTAAAAACCTCAAAGGCCCCAAAACAAATGACTTCCTATTTAGTGTCCTTAAGTTTAGGATTCTATGTTTGCCTTTCGTTACTGTTCTTTGCTGACAGTAATAATGCAGCAGTATTCAGCCAGTCAGCTCTTCATCGTGATCTCTGTGAATAGGCACCACGTTATTTATGCTTTCTCATTTCTTTGGTGGCAGGAAAAAAAGCCTGTATGTAATGATGGACTTTGCCACTTGCAAAAAGCTTGTCTACAGTCATGAACTACATATTTTGCCTCTTTTATTTTTAAATTTTAATTATTTTTAAAGAGACAGAGTCTGGCTGTCCTGTCCAGGCAGCCTCAGACTTGGCTCTGGCTTGAGTGGTCCTCCTGGTTCACCCTCCTGAGAGGCTGAGAGTACAGTGTGTGACACTCCGCCTGGGTTTGTGTCTTTTAAAATATTTATGTATCTGAAAAAATTTTTTTTCCATCTAATTCCTTAGGATGCAAGAATTGAAGCAGAAGAATTTACTAAGAAACTGTATATTGAGCTTAAGTCGTCACCTCAGCCTCACCTCGTTCCTTTCCTTAAGGTAGGGTCATCTTTTTGTTTGAAGGCCGTTTGTATGTCAGATTTCTTGAAATAATTTTAAACTTGGATATTTCAGTATCATAGTAACGATACTTAAATATCAAGATGCTCACAATGGGGACAAACCTTACCACTTTTGTAAACTGTGAAGCAAGCATGTTCGTAGTACTGTTTCAGTCAAACATTGTTGAAAAACGAATAACTTGATGATATTGTTTACTACTTGAACAGGAATATATTCAAGAGATTGTTGATATATGTGTGTGAAAAAAGGGACTTCTGTTTTAACAACCCATGTTCTCCTAGTATTGTAAGCCACATAGTGTCACATTTCCTGGAAGGGTTTAATTTTTATTAATTAATTTATATAACAAGAGCTTGTTTTGGCAACCTAAAAATTCCATTTAGATTCCTAGAAGTTACAGAGGAATTAAAGTGAAATTTATAAAGTCATTAAAGAACTCAGAGCTGTTATGAACCAACACTCATCCCCATAGACATAACATCAAGAGTTGCCTTGCTGAGCATTTTGGAATAATTGTCTGGGGCGGAGGAAAGGGGCCTCATGGTTAAGCCTCCTTTTGGTTCCTCACAAAAAATGAAAGGGAAGGAGGATGGGCGCCCTCTGTTTTCATCAGGGCATTCAGTTAGCAAAAACTGTTTCTGAGGTGACCAAGTTGATTAGGAGGGTGCAAATCATGCGATGTAAAGGGTGAGTAAAACTGAGAATGTGTTCGCCAGAGATGGGTTATTTGTGAGTACATATGCCCTTCCTGGATGACCCCCTTGACTGAGAAGCTAGAGATCTGCTTCCCAGGTTGCTTTCATTGCGGAAGTTCTTGAGCTCTAAGTGGAGTCTATAAGAATGATAACTCTCTATAGTTTGTGGTTTTTACTCATTGGATACACTGTGAAGTAAAAGAAAGAAAATGCATTACCCTCTATAGTGTGACAGCACTGTGTTAGCTTTTCGTGACTATAATAAATACCTGAGGTAATACACTTTTAAAGAGAAAAGGTTCATTAAAGTCCCAGGTGTAGAGGCCCTCATCTGTGACCAGTTGGCCTGTTGCTTTGGTCTTGTGGCAAAGTAGCACATTGTCCTGGAACTGTCTGGACAGTAAAAACTCTTACCTCATGGCTGGGAAGAGAAACAGAGAAAGAGGAGGACTCCAGGATCGCACAGCCTCTTCGAGGCAGGCCCCCAACGACCCAGAAGTGAGGCCGAACTCTAGGCCCCGCCTCTTAAAGTTATGTTGCTGTCTAGTAGCACCCCACTGGGACCAGGCCTTTCACGCACAGGCCTTTGAGGGACACCCAAGATCAAACCCACAGCAATGATCCCCCAGGTACTTTCAAATGATTTACACTGGGTGATTCAGTTGTTGTATCACTCTGAGAATGTGTGCCAGGGAGTAGTTTTCATTTTAGGGAGGGCAAAACCATTTCAATCGGCTGAGTTTAGACCAGATTCACAGATCTAGAATTTATCTCCCTCTACTGGAAATTGTAAAATAGTACCATGGAGGATTTGCACTTTGTGTCTGTTTTCTACAAATCCTTAGGGTTTTATTTGCATTTTTTTCTGTTAACCCTGAGAGCTTTAGAGGGGGTGGATGTTGCATAGGGATTAGGGATTCAGCATTTTAACTTAACTCTGACCAGGCAATCAAGAGATAATTCAAATACACATCTCTTTAAGTGATACTTTAACATGTCTTTCCATTTATATTTTCCTGATAACCCTCCTTAGATTTCCAATTTAAACTTGTCATTTCCCCCATATATTTCCAAAACAGTTTATTTTCTGCCATTTTTGAAGTTTAGAAAAGATTATGAGGGATTTTACATATATAAATTTTGAAAATTTCTCCAGATAGGAATATTCTGAATCTCTTTTTTTCAGAATTGAATGAAGGGAACAGTAGTTCTCCTATACTTAAGATGGGACTATGGTTTTATTTTTGTTCTTTAAATTTTTGTTTATGTTTGGGAGAATGAGGTAGGAGGATTGTTGTGAGTTCGAAACCAGCCTGGGCTGCAGAGTGAACTCAGGCCAGCCTGAACTGCATAGCAAGACCCTGTCCAAAAAGACTAAATAAATAAATAAAAATACGAGAAAATTTTTTTGTTTCTTGAGTATTTTCATTGTAACTTTTAGTAGACAGTCCAGATGAATCTAGGTATTACAACAAGGAAATCTTCCCAGACCGTGTTCATCTTTAACGCATATCTAGTGTTGAATCTTTTCCTTAACATATGACAACCCAGGCCTGAAAAGGCATGGTTTTCATTTTGAACTCTTTACTTTTTCAGAAGGTTGGAAAGACAGACACTGACTTCAAATTTGGTCAGAGAATATGCTACCTTGGTTATGGAAATGGTTTTGAATTTTGAAATTTACTTTTTATTAATTTTATTTTGGTGTGAAGACTTTTTGTCTAAAGTTGGAAAGTTACTTAACAAAAGATCTAGATTCTGTTGTGTTGTAAATAAGCTTACAGATATTAAGGTCACTAATGATCTATCGTAGGATGTAGATGAGTACAGAGAAGTATAATACAATGTTTTATTTTACCATACTGATAATTGAGGTACCTAAAGTAAGTTTAATATTGAGTCATGATAACTTTATATTGAAAAATAAAGTACTTTCTGGCTTTAGGTTGATTGTAGCTTGGATAGGATAGAACAAATTAACGGGTACAGGTTTTCTCGGCTGAAATAATTAATACACTTTGGATTTACTTTATGTTGTAAAAACAAGAAGTACAAGATTTTGTGCTGGGGCTGTAACTTACTTGTCGACTCTGGTATATATTTCAATCCCCATAGAAAATTTTGTGTTGCTAGCAATGTATCAGTGTTTCCTTCTCCTCTCTCTGCTTCTAGAAAAGTGTGATTGCCTTACGACAACTTCTGCCTAACGCCCAGAGCTTCATTCAGCAGTGTGTTCAGGAGACTTCCAGCAAGGTCGCCCTTGCCACCTGTACAACAGCAGTCACAGCTTCTCCTGTGGTGACAGCTGCAGTGTCCTCAGCCCAAACTGAAAAGCCCACCATCATTTCTGCAGCAGCCGTGCCCACGCCTGTGTCTGTGCAAGCTCTGAATCCACTCGCTGGTCCAGCAGGGGCGAACACTGGCATTGTGACCCTGCATTCTGTGGGCCCGGCTGCTGTGCCAGGCGGAGCAACAGCTGGAACTGTTTTGCTGCAGACCTCGAAACCACTTGTGACCTCAGTACCGAATGCAGTGACAACGGTCTCCCTTCGGCCTGAGAAACCGGTCATCTCCGGAGCAGCAGTCACACTGGCTCTGCCGTCAGTCACTTTTGGAGACAAGCCGGCTGCAGCGCTTTGTCTTCCACCTGTGAAACCTGCTGCCGCTTCTGCTGGGGCCACCCTGGACAGGCCTGTCATCGGCGCGCCCGTCCAAATCAAACTCGCCCAGCCGGGCGCCCTCCTTGCACAGCCAGCTGGGGTTCCGCCAACTGTCAAAGTCAAGCAACTAGTGAGTGACATTTTATTTCTTTTTCAGTTACTTATTTGGAAATTTTCAAGCATTCAGAAGACAGGCAAGACTAGTAAAAGACAGCATGCACTTTATCAGCTATGACCAGTTGTTAATTTTTATCTGTGATGTGCATTGTTTCCTGTATGGTAGTCACATACATAGATGTACACACCTTTTTTCCACTTGTATTGGGAATTAAATGTAGTGCCTTTCCACTGAGCTGTATCCCCAGTTTTTTATTCTGTAGTTTGAGACAGGGTCTCGCTAAATTGCCTAGACTGGGCTCAAATTCGCAGTTTTCCTCCCTGAGCCTCTCAGTGCTGGGATTATAAGCGTGCATCACCACAATTTTTTGTTGAATTGTTGTAGAACTTAGGGCAGTGCCCCTCAAAATACTTCGTATTTCTTAAAGAGAAAAATTTTTTCTTTTTTGTGGTCTTAGTAAGTACTCTACCACTGAGCTACATCCCCAGCACATACAAGAATGAATTTATCTTTTACATAACAGAAATGTATAGTCACACATCAGACATTAATACTGGGACACCATTTCCCTGTTGTCCCAGTAATGTTCTTTTAATATTATTTTTTTGTGATCTTGTTTCAAATGAAGAATTGCAGCTGGGTTTCGTGGTGTACACCTATAATCCCAGCACTTGAGAGGCTGAGGCAGGAGTATCATTGTGAGTTTGAGACCAGCCTAGGCTACAAAGTGAGTTCAAGGGCAGCCTGACCTGCATAGTGAGACCCTGTCTCAAAAATACAAAAAAAAAAAAAAGATCAAATGAAGAATTGCTTATTACATACATTTTATTGATTCTCTTTGGGTCTCTAATCTAAAACAACTCTCTAACTTCTTGTGGTTCTTCATTATATGGCAGTGCTTTTAAGGCCCACGCTAGTAATTTTGTGGAATGTTCCTTTATTTTATTTTGTCTGATCTTTTCTTCAAGATTATATTTGATTTAAATATTCTGGGGAGGGTTATTTATAGGTGGTATTACAGTAAGATTTCTGTTTTACAAAAAGTACTGAGGGGAGAAGGAATCAGTGAAGGAGATATAAAATAAGAAGCTATATTTTTTTTCCTAAACTTGGTAGGGTGGGAGGTTTTTGATTGAAAAACTGAGAAATGCTTATTGATTATTTGATGTTTAGAATGTTCTTTATTCTGGTAAGACAGATTTTAATCAGAAGAGTATAAAAATATTGTTAACCCTTGGGAATTGGCACATAGTGAATTCATTAAAAATAACAGTGTTTCTTAGTAAAGTCCCTTTATACTGTACCAGTATACTGGCTGATTTCTTTTAATATTTGGTGATTGCCCTTGTTTTCTTTTATAAACCTTTGTGTTAGAGGCTGTGATTTGAACCTTTTTGTTTGTTTGTTTTGTTTTTTAAGACAAGGTCTAACTGTAGTTTCAGCTGGTCTTCAACTCACTAAGTAGCCCGAGCTTACTTTGAACAGGTCATGATCCTCCTGCCTCAGCCTCTCGAGTACTGGGATTACAGGCTTGTAACACCATACTTGGCCTCAAATCTTTTTATTTTAGTTTATTCTGCCTCTTGTGTGTATTTCCCAGCCTTGTTTGTATAATTAGGAGTAAAGGCTAGCATCTGTGTATGATCTTTTGAGGTAGAAGGGCAGCTGTGGATGCACAGTGAAAGGACATCAGTTGACCAGAATTGAAGGGAGTTTAAGTCCTGGGCAGCTGGGAAGTAACAATCATTTACCAGAAGATGACTATTACAGCTTTTCTTATCCTTTTCTTGTCTGGGTCTTATTTTCAATTGGAGAAGTATATACCTGTTGCGTTAGATTTCTTTGGGTGGCGGAAATTAATCTCAGATATGAAACATTTTTAGAAGCAGTCATTCTTAGTGTTCTAGACAGCCAGGTTTGGGAGCCACTGGAACAAATGATTTGCCCCAAAGAGAGGCCACTTTTGGTAGAACTGAAGTGATGAAATTCTTTTTCTGGGTCATAGCTGATTCTTTCTTTTGGTACCGTGAATCAAACTCAAGACCTCATGCTTGCCAGCAGGTACTGTACTGCTGAGCCATATCCCCAGCCCTATAGCTGATTCTTGAGTCCATGCTAACCTTTATTGCCCATCTCTAGTATGTAGATTCCTCAGGCAAATTTATATTTTGTTGGTAAACTTGAGTTCTAAAAGTGCCCTCTATATGCTGTAGAGTTTTAAATAATTTTATGGTGAGGAAAAGGCAGGAAAAAAACTTAACAACCCAGAATTTCTGAGTGACCCATCCTGTGGCAGTCAGCAAGTATTCCTTGTTTAATGACCAACCTGTTTAACAGCTATTCAGACTTAGGACCTGCTACTCAGATTTACGATCTGTCATATTTTTTTGCACTCTTCTGTACATCTTGTTTATAGAGCCTCAATGTCTTTTTTTGTATAGTACACCTTGTTTATAAAGTACTGTGAGTTTTGCTGATTGTACTGTATAGTACAGTGCTGTAGTTTTTTTTGTAGTTTTATGTTCTGTTATACATTACAGTGCTGTATATAATAGTTATGCAAATAAAAGCAAAGTCATCAAATTGGAGTTTGTTGTGACCATGTCTTTGCTCTGAATATATATGTATATAAAATTAATATTTGGTGATTGCCCTTGTTTTCTTTTGTAAACCTTTGTGTTAGAGGCACAAATATATATATATATATGTGTATATGTATATATATATATTTTTTTGTCTTTTTGAGACAGAGTCTCGCTCTGCAGTTCGGAGTGGCCATGAGCTCACTTTGTAGCCAAAGCTGGCCTCAAACCTGCAGCGATCCTCTTGCCTCAGCCTCCTGAGTGCTAGGATTACAGGCACGCGCCACCATGCCCAGCTTCTTCTGAATATTGTTATGTGTATACTATATACAGTTCCTCATTTGGTGACTGGTCATTCAGTGACCTAGTTGCAGGATCATAACGTGGTCATTAGATGAGAGAAGTGTCTATTCAGCCTAGAACTCTGTAACTTTTCTATTAGATTATAATGCTTCTTATTTCAGCTTTAGCCAACAGATTTGATGTCAGTATGCATACCTGTTTATTTAGAATGGCAAAAAAGAGTAGTAAGACACTGAAGATGCATTGCACGTTTATAACAGATTTATCTGGGACAGAACAACATAAACCCTTCTGTGTAGTAATGCTAGAGAAGACTGAAGAAGGGTATTTTTTTCAAGTCAACTAACATACAAAATCAGTGTTTTGTTAAAAATGTTTTATTTATGTATTTATTTAAGTTTTGGTTTTCTTGAAACAGGGTTTTGTGTATATAGTCCAGGCTGGTCTTGAATTCACGATGTAGGCCAGGCTCGCCTCAAACTAATGGCAGTCTCAGCCTCCCAAGTGCTGGGATTATCGGTGTGTGCCATCGTGCCTGTCAAGTTGAAAATATTTTAAAAAACAAATTTAATTTTAATTTTGAAAGTAAGGCATATCATAGAGTCCACCATAAACAGTAGTTCCATTTAATCCATTAGAAGTGAGGAGGAATATGCTGAGGATACTAGAAAAGAAGAAAGCATTCTGTGTAGCTTATATGAAACATGGCAAATAACTTAAAATATGAGGATCATCATGCGGTATCAAGTCTGTGGTTGTTGTGAGCCAGTGTGGCGTGGAGAGTATGCACATGGCTGTCTTGTTTAATGTCAGGTTTAGAGTTTTTATCATTTATTTCCTTTAATGATTGTGGACTTAGGAATTCCTTCTTAATATTTACTCATTTGTTGCAATAGTAGTTCTGGAGAATTGTAGGTTTCCTGCCTCTTGGATGAAATGTTTAAATGTTGCACTTTCAAATTATAAGAAGAGTCCTACCACTGCAAGGTTTAGACTTTATTTTGATGAAATTATTCATTTTTTAATCTGTCTACCACCACTTTTAAAAAGATGTATTTATCAGTGCATGCTATTTTTCTGTTTAATTGACTGTTACATATTACTGTACTTGGCAGTTCTGCTAAAGCTTTCAAGAAAATTCAGTGGAATTCTTCAGTGTATTGTAGGTGTAAGCTTTTCATTTTTTATTGTAGGTGTAAGCTTTACATATTCATTGTAGGTGTAAGCTTGAAATGTTGAAACATGGACCTCATCAGTAGTTCTGGGGGTTTTAGATAAGGATTTAGTTCTTATTAATGAATTCAGGTCTTATATATGGTTGATCTTGGTGATTATCAATTTGGGCACAGACATTACTATATGGTTTTGTACACTCCTATTAAATATGGAACTTAATCTTTTGCCTTTGTTTTTATTTAAAAATTAATGAGAGAGTAGATGAATTGGCTTATGGATTACTAGATAATACATAGGCACTTTTAGGAGACCTGGTACTTGAAAATTTTCCTTTGAATGTTTATGAATAAACTTGTTTGAGCAAAGGCTAAATTAAATTAAATTTTAATTAGCAAAGTTAATTTAGAAAAGTTGAATTTTAATTTCATTGCAATCATTTTTAAAATTTAAATTTTGATAAATTTTGATAACTAATTCCAGCATATAAAATTAAAAATAACACCCCTCAAATCCACAGTACATGGAAATAAAATTCATGAATGGGAAAATTAATTCAAAAGCCCTGGCATTTATTTTTGCCAAGAAAGGCAGAAACAGTTTTGGAAAGTAAGCTGAGTATTGCTACTCTTGGTAATCTATTTATTGAACGCTTAAAATAATTTGTACTTAGAGATAAAGAAAGTTTTAGTAAAAAGGGTATATTTCTCCAACTATTGTTTGCATTTCTTCTTTAGCAGTATCACAGATATTTAATAAATAAATAGCCAAGTATTTTCAACAATCATTCTCCAAATACCAGTTTTGTGGATATAAGAAAAAAAATATAATACATATTTGAAAATTATTAATGTGGCAACTCTCAATTTCATTAAAGTGAAACTGAACTCCTAAGATAAGTTGATCCTGAATAGTCTAAAAATTGGTGTTGCACTGTAGTTTTACTTGCACCCA